GTCTGACCACGGGGTGAAGGTTTGGCGGCAGGCCGGTGTGACTTGGACCCGGTGAGTGCCGCGTTGCCACGCCCACCTCGGGACTCTGCCATGGAGCCAGTGTTGAAGCGGTATCGTATGAAGCAGCCCCAGTGGCGTGACTTCCTCTGCAGCTGTCATATGCCCCAGGAACCTCTGAAACTGTTTCAGTGGGACCGCCGTCCTGCTCTTGAACATATTCAGGCAGTTCAACACCGACTGAGCACGTCCCTGCTTGAGGCGTGCTGTCTGTTCGACCGAATCCAATTCCATACCGAGAAAAGAGATCCTCTGCGTCGAGTAAAGTTTGCTCTTTTCCCAGTTGACCCGAAGGCCCAACCAGCTGAGGTGTGAGAGTACCAAGTCCCTGTGTTCGCACAAATGATCCTGAGCTGGTATGAGCCAGTCGTCGAAGTAGTTGAGAATGCAAATGCCCTGCTCTCTCAGGAGAACAAGGGCTGCCTCCGCAACTTTCGTGAAGACACAGGGCGACATGGACAGCCCGGAGGGGAGGACCTTGTACTGATATGCTCGTCCTTTGAACGCGAACCGCAGCAATGGTCTGTGGTGTGGAAAGATCGACACATGAAAGTATGCATCCTTCAGGTCGATCACTGCAAACCAATCTCGGGGACGGATGCACCCGAAGATGTGTTTCTGCGTCAACATCTTGAACGGTAACCGGTGAAGGGCCCAGTTCAAGACACACAGGTCCAAGATCGGTCATAACCCACCGCCTTTATTGGGTACAATGAAGTAGGGGCTGTAAAACCCCATCTTCATATCGGCTGGAGGGACCGGCTCTAACGCATCCTTCGCCAGTAGGACTGCGATCTCCGCACGCAAGACAGGAGCATCAGCCGCCTTGACTGATGTGAAGCGGATGCCGCTGAACTTGGGGGGATGCCGGGCGAACTGAATCTCATAGCCGAGTCTGATGGTCCGCAGGAGCCAGCGAGACGGTTTGGGTAGCCAGGCACCCAGACACCGTACAAGCTGGACCAGCTGGACCAGCAGGACCACGGACATACGCGCGGTGGGGCAGTGAGGTGAAATGCAGGGACCCGGTCCGTGGGCGGACCGAAGAGGGGTCTGAGTGTGCGGTGCAACACTTACCTGGTTCCACGGTTTGGCAGAGGGTGCGTGAGTAGGGCCTTTGATGACGCTCTCGAACCGCCCACTGCTGCCTGCTGGTGAGAGAGGAGGATGAGTGTGGTCCGGTGTTAGTCCGTCCGCGACTCTCCATGCCCTCTTGGGACCCAGAGATAGAGAAAACTGCACTCTTGTCGAGATTTTTGGAAAACAGATTCTCTACCTGGCCCTCCTCCAGGGGAGGGAGAGGTGCATTCACCATCCCCCAAAGAGCAGTTCCCTCTCTCTCTGGGTCGCCAGTCCCAGGGCCTCTTGCTCTTCCGCTCACCACCAGGTTTGACGGGGGCCTGGACGGGCGGGGCGACCTGCCTCTTGCTCAAGGCTGCTGCGAATGCGGCATGGGAGCGTGGGAGGATGCAGGGGGCCTCCCTCGGCGACGAGCAGGCTGGGGCGCTGCGGCCGGCGGACGGGTGGAGGCAGCAGCTGCCCGCAGGGGCAGGACGTATCGAATCGCCTCAGTCTGCTCCTGTGCAGCCGAGAACTGCTGGGCCATGTTCTCAACTGCGTCGCTGAAGAGGCCAGTCTGGGACACCGGGACCTTGAGGAACCTAGCTTGTCGGCATCCCTCATGTTGACCGGAGCCAGAGGTGACACTCCTGGACCACAAGTGTGGACATCGCACGACCCAGAGAACTCGTCACTCAGAACGCGAGGTCAGTTGAGGTTCGGAGCTCTTTCAGAACTTCTGGATCGTGACCATCCTTGTGCAGGTCCCTCAGTGCTTTAGCCTGAAGAACCTTCAGTAACGCCGTAGAATGTAAGGCGGAGGCAGCTTCTCCACAGGCCACATAAGCATCATTGGACAGAGCAGACGAGTACCTACAGACCCGGGAGGGGAGGCACGGTTTGCCCTGGGGATAGGCGGTATTAGGACACAACTGCATCACAACCGACCGCTCCACCGGGGGGACCCCCGTATACCCCCTAGCTGCACCACCGTCGAGAGTGGTGAGGGAGGAGGAGTTAGCAGGTCGGTTTCCGGCAGAAAAAGGTGCCATCCACGACCTCGTAAGGCCCTCATGCACCTCTGGGAAGAATGGCACCGGGGTGGGGCGCTGAGAACCAGCACGGGCCACCCCGAAGAACCAATCGTCCAACCCTGAGGGCTCGGGACACGGTGGAGGTCTCCACTCAAGCCGTACCCTCACGGCAGCCCAGGAAAGCGTAGCCATCATTTCCGGATCCGATTCAGGCATTGCTACAGTCCCGTGACTCGTAGTGACCGACTGAAAGGGAACGGTGTCTTATGAAATTAAAAAATTGCCATTAGTTTTCTGTAAGGGGTAGGTTTATATGGGGTTAGATCTCTGCCATAATTCTGCATGCGAAAGATCATATTTTGAGCACACGTAAGTGCATTTTGTACGCGAGTGATCTGAGTTTTGTGGAGAAAATGTTCGTCTCGCAAAGAAAAAGTATTTTGAGTGCACTAAAATCAATTTTGCATGTAAAATAAGTTTTTGGATGTGTGCCGACCATAATAATAATTATGCACACCTGAATATAAGAAATGTTTTACTTCCAGCCTTCATGAATAATTATATATAAATTATAAATGATTAAATACAAGATTAATAGTAGTTATTAAGATTGATATCGTTTGGAATTGGTAAAATGTGCTTGGAAAAAAAGTATGATCAGAATATCAACTTGCATAATAATTATGCATGCACTGTATTTTTCCTCTTCTGCTGTCGTGGTAATGCAAGGAATGTTGTCATAGGTTGTCAAGGCAGCCAATCAGAATTTAGCAGCCTCGTCTCTGATTGGCTAGAATTATGCAATATTGTAACGCTGGGTTGTGTTGATCAAGCGAGCCGTTGGCATTTAGAGAGCACTGAGGGTGGGCATCAGGTGAGCAAGCTAGTGAAACGTTGCATGCGCAAAAGAGAAGGTCTGCACAAATCCAAAAACTTATTTTAAATGCAAAATTTATTTTCGTACGCTCTAAATACTTTCTTCTTTGCGAGACAAACATTTTCTCCACAAAACTCGCGCGCAAAATTGTGGCAGAAATCTAATCCCATAGGTTTAGGTGTAGGGCGATAGAAAATACAGTTTGTACAGTATAAAAACCATTACCCCTATGGAAAGTCCCTGTAAACCACAAATGCAAGTATGTGTGTGTGTGTGTGTTTGACAGGGAGCGCAGCCTGAACGTGACAGGGGCCGAGAGTCTGCAGCTGACGGTCAGTAATCTCCGACCGGAGGCCACGTACTCCTTCAGGGTGGTGGCGTATAACGAGCAAGGGCCCGGAGAGAGTTCAGAGGCCATCCGACTGTCCACGCAACCCGAGCGTAAGAGTCGCCTCCTCTCAACTTGAAATATACAGCAGAACATCTGATATCTGACATCAGTCACACTGAGAGCAATGGAAACTAACTGTGTTTGGTGATTGTGATGATGCAGCAGATCTCTGTAAATGTCTGCAGTGCTGTGCAGATGTTTGAAACATCCCATAATGCTCTAGTTTCCTCCTGAAGTCACACAGAGGAGCAGCGTGAGAGATTTCATTATATTATCACACACACACACTCACATGCACACACACACTCACGCACACACGCACACGCACACATATGCACACGCGCACACACACACACACACACACACACACACACACACTCACAGACTGGAGTTCTTTAACCTTTCTATTGGGCAGTGAGTGCTGTCGAGCCGTCTGACCTTTTCCATCCAGATTCCGGCTCTTCCTCACAAACAGCCTGAAAGACAAACACACTTCATCTCTGAAATATGAATATTATGTAAATGTAAAGCTCATCTGCATACGGACATGTTTCTGTGCGAGCTGCTGATCAGTTATCTCATGTGTTCCAGTGTCTGATCCAGGATTATTATCCTTAACTGAAACCATAAAAAAATCACCACTCATCAAAACAAAATTAATTTACTAAAAATATAAAAAACATAAACTTAATGTCAACATTTCTCATTTTTGTTTAGTTTTAGTTGAAGTTCTAAAATAAAAAATAAATAAACAGAAAAGCTAAAACTTAAAAACTATATAGGCATATTTAAAAGAAAATAAATATAAAATAAAAATGACAAAAACACGCAACAAAAAAATACTAAAACTTTTTATAGTAGTTTTAAAAAATCATAGTTTAAAAAAATTGTTTGTTTGTTTGTTTTTTGTCATTTTTATTAGGGGTTTTTTTTTGTCTATGAAATAATAAATATTTTAGATTTAAAATGTTTTAATAAATATTTATTATTATTTATTATTTCATAGTTTCTTCCCGAAGTTTGTTTGTTTACAAGCACAAAAGATATTCACTGTTACAAAGCATAGATAAAACCATAAAAAAAATCACTACTCGTAAAAAAAAATAAAAACTAGTTTAAGTTGAAGATCTAAAATAAATAAAACTAAATAAACCGAAAAGCTGAAACTTAAAAAATATATAGGCATATATAAAAGAAAAGTGAAGAAAAGAAAAGTAATATAAAATAAAAATGACAAGAACACCCAAAAAAAAATACTAAAACTTGTTACAGCAGTTTTAAAAAGCAAATGAATTTTATTAATGTTTAAATGAGCTTTTATTTTAATATTTTCAGTTTTTATTTTAATTTTAGTTAGTTTTAGTAGTTTTGTTGTTTTTGTTATTTTTTTTGTCTATTTTTTTCCCCCAAGTTTGTTTGTTTTCAAGCACAAAAGGTGTTCACTGTAACAAAGCATAGATGAACACAATGAATACTAATATCAGCAAAATCAAACGAAATATAAAAGTAGAAATAAACTCTCACTCAAATATTGAAATCAGCACAAACACGACGTTTCTGCAGTGCATTCAGACCCATGAAGAGCCTGTGTTTCTCATCTGTCGACGGTGATGTGATCGTTCATTAGTTCTGGTTCCTGGTCCAGTGGAGAACCTGCGGGCAGAAGCTGCGTCTGCGTCGTCCATCCAGGCGTCCTGGGATCCTCCGTCTCACGCCAGCGGCCCGGTCCAGAGCTACCGGCTGCTGTGGACTGAGACCTCCACCGGAAAAGAGCAGGTGAGAGTAACCTGGTTAGTATTATGACAGAAGTCTGACCTGTTTCAAAAAGCATGCTGGATTGGTACAGCTGCTGACGGCCGAGTGCTGTGATTGGTCGGTGATGTCTGTAAGGCGGGGCTTACTGAAGGCTCATTAGCATGTTGTTTTCTGACCGCGGTGTTTCTCCAGAACGTGGAGGTCGTGGGTCAGAGCTATAGGATGGAGGGCCTGAAGAAGTTCACGGAGTATTCGTTACGAGTGCTGGCGGTCAATCGGCACGGTCCTGGCCTCTCCGATAAAGACACGCTCATCACCACGCTCTCAGACGGTAAGACTAGTCAACTCTAGTCAACTCTACTGCTAACCAGCCTCTCATTAACCCCCACACAGCCATAATCACGAGAGGGAGACTGAATTTTCTGTGAGCCACAAGTTCGTGAGTTTGGTTTCAAAAGATGAAAAATGAATAGAAATAAAAACACTAGATAGTAGAATTACAATAGAATATACAACAATTCTTTTACAGCACCTTCATAAATTTATATCTTTATTTATTTTGTAGTTGTAGAGTAACAAAATCTTAAAATATTAATTTTTTTAATGTTTTATTTTTTTATGAATTAGTTTGTATTTTTATATTTTCTGCTTTGTTTTTGTTATTTTCATTGGCTATATAGTTGTTGTTTTTATTAATTGTATTTCAGTTCTAGTTATTTTAGTGCATCAAGTTAAACTAAATGAAAATAAAAAATAGCTGAAATAAATTTCTTTACATTTTTATTTCAAGTAATGAAAATGTTTTTTTACGGTTTTAGTTTTAATTTTACTTTACCCAGATTATTTATATACTATTATAGATTTTTAATTAATATTTTAAATGAGGTTTTATTTTTATATTTTCCAGTTTAGTTAAAGTTTTGCTGATTTTGTTGTTTCATTTAATGAGTTAACTTAGAGTTGAGTTAACTTTATTTCAAGTATCAAAAATGTCTTCTAATGTGGTTTTAGTTTTAGTTAACTATAATAACTCTCTACATTGTCATCTTGCTTGCATCTGACCTCATAATTATGACTTCACAGCTCGTAAATACGAACGTCTCAGAAGGATTTGAGCTCGTCGTGATTCGTCTGTTCCTTCATCACTGAAACACATATTCCAGTCATCTGATTCACGACTGCCATCAGGTCACAACATTCAGGAGATGTTTCCATAAGCCATCCACTTAATCACACACTAATGATGGCTTTGATGTGGCAGTCATATTCAGGCCGTCACATCTGAAGTGTCAATCAATTTCAAGGCGTGTCACTCAACTCTGTCAGACTGACGCGAGACGTTTGAGACACGTTTGATTTGTTTGCATCTCCACTGCATCTCCATGCAAGAAGCAGCCGGGATCTTCCCTCAAATTCAGTTTGAGTCCCCGGAGAGAGAGAGAAAACACACACACGCCTTCCTGATCAGAAAATGAATATATTTATTCATAGTCGCCATCTTGGCTCAATGTGTCACAATGCATTCTGGTACTGGTGCATCAGATTTGTTCAGGAGAAGCTGTGTGCACTTTCGTTTGGATGAAAAAATAAATAAAAAAATAAAAATACAATGTTTTAAAAAAATGTATAAAATAAAATATATTTTAAAATATTAATAACATATAACATAAAATAAAATGTTTTTTTAAATATTAATAAAAGAAAATAAAAATAAAATATTTAAGAAAATGAATAAAAGAAAATATATTGTAAAACATTAATAACATGAAACATAACCTAAAATAAAATGTTTTTAAAAATATTAATAAAATGAAATATAATGTTTAAAAAAAAAATCATAAAATTAAATATATTTTAAAATATTAATAACATATAACATAACATTCTTAACATGCTGCTCAGACCTGCTGCATTCTCCCACTCGCTCTGATCCATTCCCATCATGCACTCCTCTGATTCTTTGTCTCATATTGGCGTGATTTTCTCCAGTTGTCTGTGCGAGCAGCTTAACCCGCGCGTGTCTTTCTCTAATTGGCTGCAGTGTCTTTTTGCATTAGCTTCAGCGCAGCTCTAAGAGGCTGTGGGAATTTATTGCGTGTCAGCTTCCATTAGAGACGCGCAGCAGAATGATTCAAATGAGCCGCTGCTGCTCCTTCCCCATTTCACTGCTTAATTAAAGGCCCTCGTGTCAAGCTAATGAAATTGTGTGATGGCATTCTACACACACACGCGCACACACATATCCATGCACTCACACGTATGCGCGCGTATGCATGCACACACAAACACGCGAGCGCATATGCATGCACACACATTGCAAATCACGTTGAATGGGGGGTGTCGATCGCAAAATCACATGAATACTCATGAACACTCATCACATGCACACATAAACACTCATGAACATGCATATGCATGCACACACACACACACTCACACATGCATGCACACACTCACAAAATTACACATGCATGCATACACAAACACCCATACATGCTTATGCATGCACACACACACACACACACACACACACACACACAGGAACCAGTTGAGTCCTCTGCACAATGTGACTTTGCTGCAGCCTGGAATTGAACTGCTGGGTTGGTCTGGCCAGAGGAGACCTGGCCCCCCGACTGAGCCTGGTTTCTCCCAAGGTTTTTTGTCCGTTCTGTAACCGATGGAGTTTTGGTTCCTCTGGCTTGCTTAGTTGGGGACTCTTAATTTCCAGCGATATCGTTGACTTGATTGCAAAGATACTATTTAAACTGAACTGAGCCGGATGATGACATCACTGAATTCAATGATGAACTGCCTTTAACTGAAAAATGAGTGTTTACTATTGTCATTTTGCATTATTGACACACTATTTTCCTAATTAATGCTGTTCAGTTGCTTTGACACAATCTGTATTGTTAAAAGCGCTATATAAATAAAGATGACTTGACTTGACACACACACTCGCTCACACACACGTATGAGCATGCAGACACACATATATGCATGCACACACACACTCACACACACAGGCATATGCATGCAGGCACACACACATGCATGCACACAATCACACACACATGCATGCAGAGGCGGACAGTAACTAAGTAAATTTACTTGAGTATTGTACTTAAGTACACTTTTTGAGTATCGGAACTTTACTTGAGTATTACTTTTTCTGGGAACTTATGATTTTAACTTCACTACATTTGAAAGACAAACAACAATTCAATAATAAGAAGTTAATATTGTGGTATATATTAGACACAATATTGTCTGATTTTGCTAAATTGTGTGCGTGAAAATATTAGCTATAAAGCCACAGAAGAACTGTTGTGTCCACTCTGTTGAAATGTAGATGAATGGCTACACATAGATGTGTCCAGAGCTGTGTGAGATCACTACCATCCTGCTTTTGTGGGGGTGGGTAGGGGTCACGTAGCAAGGTGTATTTTTATGTACAGTTAAATTAAGTATACTTAGTATTAAGTATTAAGTATTGCAAGTATTACATACAACAATAAAACAGTGCATTGACATAAAAAAGGAAATTTACTTTTGGTACTTAAGTACTTTTAAAAGCAAGTACTTCTGTACTGTTACTTAAGTAAAAATCTGTCTTTACAACTTTTACTTGTAATGGAGTAATATTTGACCAGCAGTATCTACTTTCACTCAAGTAATGGAGTTGAGTACTTTGTCCACCTCTGCATGCATGTATATGTATGGACGCACTCACATCCACACACATATGCATGTGCACGCACACACACACACGTACATGCGCACACTCACACACACACACACACACACACACTCACACATATGCATGTGCACACTCACACACACACACACACACACATGCGTGCGTACATTCACACACACACACACACACACACATGCGTGCGTACATTCACACACACACACACACACACACATGCGTGCGTACATTCACACACACACACACACACACACATGCGTGCGTACATTCACACACACACACACACACACACATGCGTGCGTACATTCACACACACACACACACACACACATGCGTGCGTACATTCACACACACACACACACACACACATGCATGCGCACACTCACACACACACACACACTCACACATATGCATGCGCACACACACACACACACAGTCTTTTGTTTAATCCTGTCTCCAAACTATTAGTCCAAACTCATGCAGCGAGTCCTCAGATAACCTCCTGACCTGCAGAGCATCTCAGATACGGCCTGTTTATCTGAAGCCTCATTGACAGATTGATTGTGTTCCTCTGATGGAAGAACATCCGTCTGCTGCTGTCCCGCTGGAGCGAGATAGATTCCCTAACTTAACTAAACCGGCTAACTATCTCCAGGGCCATTAGGTGACCCGTGGGGCGCATTAGTGTTGATCCTGATGATTGTGGTGTGTGTTTGTGTCCGCAGTGCCCAGCGCTCCACCGCAGAACATCTCACTGGAGGTCGTCTACTCACGGGTGAGCTATGATTCAACTGCATTCACTCAGTATTAATTACGAGGCAAAACACGAGAGACATGGACTCAGCTCTCAGCTCATAGATGTCAGCTCTGTATGGTTGGGTTGAACACACGTGTGCGTTCACATTATGAGGGAGTGTGTGTGTTTATATCAGTCAGGCTCGTATAAACCAGCACTGGAGCAGTCAAACACACGTTATTTTGGCAGAATCTGCAGAGTCTGAACTGTAGAGGATTGGATTGAATTGACTGGATTGACTGCAGCAGGCTCTCAGATGTCTGTAAAGTGAGCAGATCTGTGTAAAACACACGAGGTCAGAAACACTCCTGCACTGATTTCATTTCAGGTTCAGCACACACACGGGTGACAGGATATTACACGCGTGATCATATCATCATGAGGAGCTTGCACTCTATCACACATTCATTAGTATATTTTATTATAATATTATGACATCATAGTAATTAGCCTTTTTAATATTTAAAGAAATTTTCTGTTGTTTTCTAAGAATAATTATTTATAGGAATATTTTAGATTTTTATATTATCAATTCAATTCTTATATATACATTTTAAATTATATTAAATAATTACATCATTATATATATAATGTACTATAATATATAATAATGGTAGTATAGTAGTATAAGTATTTATTAATATATAAAATTAGCTTATTAGTCATTTTTTATAATTGTATTTTAAATATTTATTTTTAAATAAATTTAATAATATTTTAAATTAGCTAATATTTTCATATTGTCAATTTTTTTTTTTGAATTTAGTTTGTTTAATTTATTTTGCTATTTGCTTTTTTGTAATTTTTAATACTTTTTTAAACTCTGTTTCTATTGAACATTATTCATTTTTTTATAATTATATTTTAAATATTTATTTTTAAATACATTTAATAATATTTTGAATTTGCTATTTTCATATTGTCCATTTTTATTTTGAATTTAGTTTAAGTTTTATTAATTTTGTTATTTGCTTTTTTGTCATTTGTATTACTTTTTTTACTAAATTAGTAACTTTAGTAATTCTAATGAAACTTATTTGTGTTCAGTCAGTTACCAATGCAACATTTCTAATTTTAATTTTTTTTATAATTATATTTTAAATATTTATTTTTAAATAAATGTAATAATATTTTAAATTAGCTAATATTTTCATTTTGTCCATTTTTATTTTGAATTTAGTTTGTTTAATTTATTTTGTTATTTGTTTTTTGTCATTTTTATGACTTTTTTTTAAACTCCGTTTCTATTTAACATTTTTTAAATTAGTAACTTTAGTAATTCTACTTAAACTTATTTGTGTTCAGTCAGTTGCCAATGCAACATTTCTAATTTACGTTTTAGAAATGTAATGTTTTCATCTAATATTTATATGTGATTTTAATCAGCTTAATTCCAGGGAATAATGAAGCTGCTCTGAAACAATCAGCAGTGTATAAAGCACTATAGAAATAACGGTGACTTGACTAGTTTTGGTTAACAGGGTTGGTGTAGTGTTATCTTCTCTGGATAACGTGTGTCTCCTCTAGTGTAACACTGTGTTCTCACACTGAAATGAGCTGCTTTGTCTGAGCGGCCCGATAACGGATTGTTTATGTCAGGAAATTGGGTTTCATTGTGTGCCGCGGCGCTTCTGCCCATCCAGAGACCAACAAAAGAGCCCAGAATGCATTGTGTCCGTCTGTCGCTCTGCAGAATGATGATTGTGACGTCAGATTGAGCAGCAGCCCGTCTCTATCACACATCAGCTCAGCTAAATCATCAGCAGTGTGTTCAGGGTCGTGCAGCTGCGACTCTGACGCTAATGATTCTCTCTGATATTCTTAAGAATTAAATATGAATGCAAAGGCAATGTGAGACTGAGACATTTGGTGTGAATCCACAACTATATTTCACAAAACTTGCTCTTTTCTTGCCGGCAGAGCCACAGCGATGCATCATGTTCAGCAGGGTCATTTCCAGACGGAAACATTTTCATTTTTCACTGGAAAATTAAACTGTCTATTTGTGCATCATTTGCTGCGCTGCCAGTGGTTATTAATGTGTGAATCAGACGGATGGCCTCTATAAACGAATACAGCCGGCGAGAAAGAGGGCAGGTCAGAGAGCCGCGGGACGCTGCAACAGTGACAGCATCTTAAATATTTATCGATTTCATGAGTCGTTAACTCGCTTTTCTTTCCATTAGGATTCAGTCAAGAGGCTTGTTTCGTCTGATGAATCAGAGTGATGTGGAATATGAAGTCTAGCAGATTAATTATGTGCTTCAAAACAGAGGAGAGAAAGTGGATGACAGTGTGATAAAATACTAAGACAATATAAAGAGTTGACTTTATGATATTTATTATTAAAAGACATTTTATTTTTAAGATGTATGCATATCGTGAAATATCAAAACTGTATGTGTGTACATATATACATAGTTACATACATTCATATATATATATATATATATATACTACATAAGAAAAACTTCAGAATTGTGAGATATAAACTAAGGATTGCGATAAAAACTCAGCTCTAAAAATAAAAACAATTCCAAGAAAAAGCACCAGAATTGCAAGATATAACAAGACAAATTTAGAATTGTGATACAAACTCGCAATTCTAAAAATAATGACAGAACTGCGACATATAAAGTTAGAATTGCGAGATAAACTCGCAATTCCAAGAAAAACGTCTGAATGGCAAGATATAAACTCAGATAGAATTGCAAAATATAAAAGTCAGAATTTGCTAGAAACTGTGATATAAACTCACAATTGTAAGAAAAACATCTGAATTGCAAGAAAAAATAAAAACAGAATTGTGATATATAAAGTCAGAATTGCAATATAAACTCGCAGTTCTAAGATAAAACATCAGAATTGAGATATAAAGTCAGAATTGCAATATAAACTCGCAGTTAAAACATCAGAATTGAGATATGAAGTCAGAATTGCGAGATATAAACTTAAAATTGCGATAAACACTCAACTCTAAAAATGAAAACAATTCCAAGAAAAAACACCCGAATTGCGAGATATAAACTTAGAATTGTGAGACAAACTTAGAATTTAAAAAAATGACAGAACTATGACATATAAAGTCAGAATTGCGATTTAAACTCGCAATTCCAAGAAAAACGTCTGAATTGCAATACAAAGTCACAATTAAAAAAAAAAAAACGATAGAACTGCAATATATAAAGTCAGAATTGCGAGATACTGTCATATAAACTCACAATTCTAAAAAAACGTCTGAAATGGAATATATAAACTCAGAATTGCGATAAAAATGTGCAATTCTAAAAAAAAACAGAATTGAGATATAAAGTCAGAATTGCAATATAAACTCGCAGTTAAAACATCAGAATTGAGATATGAAGTCAGAATTGTGAGATATAAACTTAAAATTGCGATACAAACTCAACTCTAAAAATAAAAACAATTCCAAGAAAAAGCAGCCGAATTGCGAGATATAAACTTAGAATTGTGGGACAAACTTAGAATTTAAAAAAATGACAGAACTATGACATATAAAGTCAGAATTGCGATTTAAACTCGCAATTCCAAGAAAAACGTCTGAATTGCAATACAAAGTCACAATTAAAAAAAAAAAAACGATAGAACTGCAATATATAAAGTCAGAATTGCAATATAAACTCGCAGTTCTAAGAAAAAAAATGACAGAACTATGACATATAAAGTCAGAATTGCGATTTAAACTCGCAATTCCAAGAAAAACGTCTGAATTGCAATACAAAGTCACAATTAAAAAAAAAAAAACGATAGAACTGCAATATATAAAGTCAGAATTGCGAGATACTGTCATATAAACTCACAATTCTAAAAAAACGTCTGAAATGGAATATATAAACTCAGAATTGCGATAAAAATGTGCAATTCTAAAAAAAAACAGAATTGAGATATAAAGTCAGAATTGCAATATAAACTCGCAGTTAAAACATCAGAATTGAGATATGAAGTCAGAATTGTGAGATATAAACTTAAAATTGCGATACAAACTCAACTCTAAAAATAAAAACAATTCCAAGAAAAAGCAGCCGAATTGCGAGATATAAACTTAGAATTGTGGGACAAACTTAGAATTTAAAAAAATGACAGAACTATGACATATAAAGTCAGAATTGCGATTTAAACTCGCAATTCCAAGAAAAACGTCTGAATTGCAATACAAAGTCACAATAAAAAAAAAACGATAGAACTGCAATATATAAAGTCAGAATTGCAATATAAACTCGCAGTTCTAAGAAAAAACATCAGAATAGCGATATAAAGTCAGATTTGCGAGATACTGTGATATAAACTCGCAATTCTAAGAAAAATGTCAGAATTGCAAAATATAAACTCAGAATTGCAACAAAAACTCGCAATTCTAAAAAAAACAACAGAATTGCGATATGAAGTCAGAATTGCGAGATATAAACTTAAAATTGCGATAACCTGTGATTCTAAGAAAATACAACAGAATTGTGAGATACAATGTCAGAATTGCGATATACGCTCACAATAATGTGGAAAACTGTCATAATTGTGAGATATAAACTAATTCCAAGAAAAAAAAGTCAAAATTCTGGGTTTACATCTCGCAATTTTCAGGGAAAAAAAAAATCAGATCACAAAAGGCGGAATTATCTTTTTATTTTATTTTATATTTTATTTTATTTTATTTTATTTTATTTTATTTTATTTTTTAT